GACATCCACAAGAGGTGGGCCCGGCAGAGACAGGAGGGATGACCAGCAGGGACGGTCCAGCAGCAGGGAGGGAGAGAGGGYGTCCCGCCTGAGAGCAAGCCACGGCGACTGGACCTGAGGGGTGATAGGGCACTGGGACACCTGCCCCTTTTTGTCCCTCTAATTGCCATCTTTATTTCATGAGTTCCCATCGCCTTTTTCTCTGGTCCTGCGGATGGAGCTTGGGACGCTCCACCTCTGAGCCCATCTAAGGGGGGTCGGGGTGCCGGGGAGGGAACTCAGGGGCACTGACCACTGAGCCACACCCCAGCCCTATTTTGCGTTTAGAGACAGGGTCTCCCTGAGCTGCTCGGCGCCTYGCTGTGGCTGAGGCTGTGACCCTCCTGCTGTAGTCTGACGGCACTTCTATCGTGAAGTTTTAAAAAGGAAGGAAACAAAGCTGCTTCAGAGCTGTTGGGGGTTCATGAGAACGTGGMCCTGGGCGCGGAGCCACACCGTCCCTGCCGTCTCCCAGAGCCACAGCCAGGAGCGGAGGCGCCCCTTTCCCATCACGGCTGCAGCCACTCAGGCACCAAGGCCTCCCCCTGGGTCCCCCTGAGCACCACCAAGACAYACAGGACACAGACCAGGGGGCAGGGCCACGGTCCCCGGGCTGGCTCATCAGGACGATGTCCCCAGCTGCTCTGTGTGCACACCTGCTCCCAGCCCTCTCTCCAGAGCCCCRCCCCTTCAGGTGACAGAGGATCTGAGGTCCCACACCTGCCCCTGCCTCGCCCACGCTCTCCCATCTCCCTCTGGCAGGTCCCTCACCTCCAAGCCCTGTCTCAGACCTTCCAGGGAGAGCAGAGGTGGCCGGGGCAGCCCCTGGGCTCCAGCTCCTCCTGGGCCACCCTGAGCCCCATTCCCGGGCAGATGGAGTCAGGGCCTCCGGCTGCTCTCTGGGAAGTGGCCTCCTTCCCTCCACCCAGCCTCCGCTTCAGCCTCATTTTATAGATGAAAAAGTTGAGGCCCAGAGAGGGGAATGGTGGGCTCAGGGTCACCCAGGGCGAGGGGCAGAGCAAGGGTCAGGGCCAGGGCCATCTCCCTGCACCCACCCCCCTTAGAGGGACCATCCCTGGACAGAGGCAGGGATTCCAGCACTCAGAACCCACAAAGTGGTGGCTGAGGTGGGTCTTGGGAGCACCCAGGAGTGCCGGTCACCAGGGAYGGTCCYCGGTCCCTGGTAAGCYCCATGGTGCTTCAGAMTCCAGAGGATGATTCTCTCTGGGACCYGAAGTTGCTTTCCGGGCTCGAGACCCCCAACCGCCTCCTGCCCCTKGTGAGAACTACTCTCCACCGTGACCTCTCTCAGTGCTGGGCAGGGGGACAAAGCCACAGCCCGGGGTCTGGCGCTCAGGAATGGGCTGGGAGTCCTTCGGTTTAATACATGCCACCCCACACCGCTGACTTCATAAATATCATTAGATCCTGCCGCGTCCACTGGCCTGCGGGCTCTGGACGTGAGGAACTCTATCCTGCTCCCAGCGCAGCAGGTGGAAATAGTGTGAACCAAGAAATGTCCCCGGCAGAGCCAACAGCTGCGGGCCCGTCTCCTGGCAGACGGCAGCCAAGGCATCGCTGACCCACACACCCTGGCCGCTGCCCAACCACTGGGAGGCCAGAGCAGCCTTTGGGCTTTGGTTGGGGGCAGACAGACAGGTTTTTGGTGTACTRTGACCTTGGGTAAGTGACTTGGCTTCTCTAAACTTCAGGTTTTTCACTTTCTTTTTTWAAAAAAAATGACAATGGGATCTGTTTTAGTAACATATGTCACTGGAACATACGTGCAGTGTCCAGCTGAAGGCCAGGCACAGTGTTAGGACCAAAGGAAGAGGGGCGGCAGGTCAGTGTGGGGTGRGAATCCTCCATCTACCCAAGAACCTCAGCCCCGTTCAGAATAAGAAATTGGAGCCTGGGGGAGAATTCTGCGCCCTGTGGCTGCCCGACGGCTCTCACGAGGGGCAGGAGGCGGTTGGGGGTCTCAAGCCCAGAACAGCAACGTTGGGTCCCAGAGAGAATCATCCTCTGGATTCTGAAGCACCTTGRAGCTTACCAGGGACCRGGGACCGTCCCTGGTGACCGGCACTCCTGGGTGCTCCCAAGACCCACCTCAGMCACCACTTTGTGGGTTCTGAGCGCTGGAATCCCCCACTTCTGTCCAGGGATGGACCCYCTCCCATGGTCTAACCTTCCACCACACCCCTAAGCTTGAGGGCACCACATGACCCAGGCCTGGGGCCCCCTCACGCTCCACAGTGGCTGGCTCAGGGCTGATGGGGGACCAGCCCAGCTGCCCCCACCAGTGAAMCATACCCCTGGGGCTTTGGATCAGGATTTCACAGCCCTTCCCCCACAGGACTCCGACCTGGACATTTACAGCCAGCCAGGGACAGTCCTCGTCCAGCCCTCACGAACCAAGAGGAGGAAGTGGCCAGGCAGGACAAAGTGTGCCGGGAACACAGACAACAGGCATCTTTATGGCTGTGGTTGGGTTCTGGATCAAGCCATACCTGAACCTTCAAGGGCTTTTCAGTTCCATGATTTAAAAAGCTCCACTTTTTTTTTTTTTTTTTTGACTGATAAGCTCGTGATTTGGCATTAAAGCTCTTGCACAATTAGCCAAACTAACAAAATGAAATCTGCTTGAATAAGCAAAAAATTGAGAGCAAAACGAACTGGATGATGTTTTAATGTGTTCTATCAGCCTGTAGGATACTCCTATCCTACTTCAAGTATTGCGGGTAAAAGACGCTTCAGAATTCAAGTTTCAATCTCACTTCTCCACCTACTTTCTAGCTGTGTGATCTTGGACAAGTCACCAAAACTCTCTGAGATTCTGTTTCTTCAAACCTTTGGGAACTAGGTAAGGATGAAATGAGATCATGTGCATAAAGCACTAGATACACATTAGGAGCTCAATAAAGGTGCCCCCTCAATTCAGGCGATGCCATCTGCATTTATGTAATTATAGGGGCATGAGGAGACCTATGAGGACAGAGAAAAAGGACATCCTGGTTCCCAAGGATCTACTCATGACGGATGCTGTCCCCAGTTTTTATGGCTCTTACCAAAGAAGCAGGGTAGGGTAGGAGAAAGGACAAACCACTTTGAAATCAAAGAAACCTGCGTATGTGTCCTACCTCGGCTCCGTGATCTTAGGCAAATTGCCTAACCTCTCTGAGCCTTATCATTTCATTAATAAAATGGGAAAGCTATTGTTTACCTTTTGAAAGGATATTAGGTTGTGAAGCTATGTACACTGTCCCCACCCAGCAGTGTTCAACAAATAACTGTGACCATCTGCCCAGGCTCAAGCTAGGGGTYCTTCCCAAAGGACAGTCAGCAAGCCTCTGCTGCGTTCCGTTCCCACCTTCCTGAGCTCAGCCAGGCCACACCTTCAACTCCTAAAGCCCCGTGTCCAGCCCTGGCCTCTCTCCAGAGCAGCCCTCTGGGCCTCTGCACCAGAATATCTTCCAGGCTCCACAGTCACAGCCCCAGGTCTGGGCTTCTCCCTGCTCTGTGATTTGGGTCGGTCCCCTTGGGCTTGGTCTGCAGTTGTGGCTGGTTGTGGCTGATCTTGGGGCTGTGYGCCTGGGATCCTGAGCTTCTCAACTCCTGCACACCTCTGCCYGTGCACTGGGCACCACTTTCTCCCTGTACCAGTTCAGACACGGCACCTCCTTTCTGCAAAGAGCCCAGGCTTGGTAACTTAGAGTCACCTAGGATTGTCCCCATAGTTCCTCCCACAGCACCCAAGTCTGGAAGATTCTCCCTTGGAAGTACCACCTGATCTGTAGGCTCTGATGCCACCATCAACCTGCCCAGTCTCCAGCCCCAGCGTCCCACTTCCAGTCCACCCTCCCAACTAGGAAGCCAGTGGTCAACAAGGGACAGTGGAGCCTCCCTCCCACATAGCCTCTGCCTGGAGGCTGGACCTCCTAGGCTGCTGTCAAAACTGGGCTCCAGCAGGGCACTGKGGTGCACACCTGATCCCAGTGACTCGGGAGGCTGAGGCGGGAGGAGCTCAAGTTCAAAGCCAGCCTCAGCAACTTAGTAAGACCAGGTCTCAAAATAAAATATATTTTAAAAGTGGGCCTGGGGATGTGGCCCAGTGGTTAAGGATACCTGGGTTCAAACCCTGGTACCAGAAAACAAACAAACAAACAAACTGGGTTTGGGCATCAACATCGGTGCTTTGGAGACTCCTTTCCCAGGGATGAGGAGAGGAGCCACTCCCGGTGCTCATATCCATTCACGCTTCTCAAGCACAGGGCCTGAGGACCGTCACCTCAAGACCGTGTAGAGACCCTCTGCATGTCGTGAGCACACTGGGCTTCGCTCCACGGAAGTGCATTTGCRTGTGACATCTCGCATCCAGTTTCAGGGGTGCACACCCCCCAAGCATACAGAGCACAGCTTGCCCCCCGTCAAGTGTATTTTACAGAGGAGGACTGAGACAGCTGGAAGAAGGGCCCTGAGCAGGACAGGCGAACCGCCTCCCTCCGCCAGGCCGTGGTCATCCCAGGAAAGCGTGCTGTCCACTCCCAGCCCAGTCCTAGCTGTGAGCCGAGTGCTTGCTACATTCCCCACCTCTGCAAGGGCTCCGGGTGGAGCCAGAAGATGACCGCACACGGGAAGCTGGCCCTGTCCCTGGCACKCGGGATAATTCCCTTTCCTCCCTTCCTGGAAAGCTGTAGAGGGGGGAAACGTGGCCGCCCCCAGAGTGGTCAGGGAAGGCTTCGTGGAGGAAGCCGGCCTGCCAGGGCTGCGTGCTGGTGCTGGGGACGCAGGGCCAGGTTATTAATAGGCCTGGCTCAGTGGGCCCAGGGAGGTGAATGTGATACAGACACCCAGTACCGGGGCTGGGGAGTACCTGACACCGGACGGGGAGGGGGCTGGGGCCGGGGGAGCGCCACCTCCCAAAATAGCCAGGAGGGAGCCTATTTAAGTGGCCAGCCACCCCCAGGCTCACTCCCCGCAGGACTCCCACCAGCCCCGCTTTCAGTGCAGGCTCCTGCYGTCCACTCCCACCCGAGGTGAGTGGCAGCTGGGTGGGTTGTGACCCTGGGTGGCCGCGGAGTCCAGGACCAGAGTGAGTCCCGAGCGCTCCGCCCTGGCCCTAGGTGAGCYGGGCAATGCCTCCCCTTGGCCTGGTCGCAGGTCCCCATCTGTCCAACACGAGGGTGGAGCCAGACACCTGTGAACTCTCGMGATGCCACCAGAGGGGCAGGGGGGCAGGAGGAGGGGGCGTGGAGGCCTGGTGTCCCCCAGGCCTGAGGGCCGTGGAGCTGAGGGAGACAGGAGGAAGGAGGGGAGGAGCCAGGCTGGGCCCCAGGTGCAGGACTTGGGGACCCTCAGGAGCCAGGGTGTGGTTTGGACACAGGGGACTCCTCTGGCCCTGGGCACTAGGGAGGAACACTGAACTCCAGGGGAGGGGACCCTGGGGTGGTCCTCTCACTTAGGCTCATCACAGACCCTTTCTAGCCTCCGTTCCCCCATCTCTACTGCAGGAGGGTCCTTGGCCGGGAAACCGGATTCTCCCACAAGGCCCTTGAGCAGCTCCTGGGAGTTGAAATGAAAACAGGCCCCAGCTGGGGCAAGGGGCAGGGCGGGGCAGCAGGGCAGCAGGGCCAGGGCAGCCGAGGGCCCGGGAGGCCTCACACCCAGGGGTATCTGGCCAGGACTCCAGCCTGGGCTCCTTGGATGCCAGCTGGCTGTGGGCTGAAGGAGCTGACTCACCGGGAGGGGGCCACTGGAGCCAGCCACTCCTAAGGCCTCCAGGAAGGGCACCAGCCAGGCCTGAGCCGGAGACGGTGTTGACAGTGAGTGTCAGGGAACTTGAGCGACTGGGCAGCTGGGCTGCTGTCCCTGGTCCCCACACCAAGGRCCACCGCAGTCCCAGCCCTTGCCCACCTGCCTAAGTTGGAGTCTCAAGGTCCCACTAACAGGGACAAGGGTGGGGACCACCAGCCCTTCCAACACAACAGAGGGAGACACAAGCCTAGAGATGAAGGTCCCTTCCCAAGGTCACATGGGGACTCAGGGCAGCCCCAGATCAAGGTCCAGGCCCCCACTCCCTGTCCAGGGCTCACCCTCGAGAGGCAGCCGCTGCAGGCAGGGTGTGTGCGAGACCTCAGGCAGGTGCTGCTGGCACTTGCCTCATTCCCAGAGGGGCTTTAAGACCACGAAGCTCGCTGGGTGGCCAGGAAGGGTGGTCTGAAGGTGTCACCTCTCCCCCAGGTGAACACCAGCCTCCCCGGAGCTTGCATGGACATTCCAGGTAGGCTCCATGCCCCCAGCTCCCCAAAGAGGTTTGTGGGGCAAGGGGCATCTGGACCCCAGATTCCTGGACAGGGGAGACCAGGAGAGTAGTTGATGGAGCTCCAGGAGCRGCTTTGTGAAAAGTCAGGCTAGGCAGGAAAAGAAAAAAAGAAAAAGCCCCGTTAAGAAGTGCATCCCTGGTCAGATGTGGGACGCAGCTCCAGCTGAGAGCCTGGGCAGCTCTCATCTGTCCCTGTCCCCACCACCCCTTCCTTGGTCTGTGGGTCAGGTTTCTAGCCTCAGCGCTCAGCTTTTGCAGCAAAAATTTGCATCTAGGACAGACAAGAGGTTTGCATCGGGGTGGAGAGAGAATGGGTGCCGAGCCGGGGGGTCCACGGGGTAGAGGCTGGACCCTGCGTGTTCAATTATCTTTCCCTAAATGGGATGTCCTTCGAGGTGTCCAGATTCGAKCGGTGCCTCCTGCGTGCCCTTGACGGCAGGCGAACTCCCCAGACCCGGCTGATGGCGCGGGCGCCCCCTAAATTCCCGAGGGCATGCTTCCTGGGGCGACCTGGTCGCAGACCCCAGGATCTGAGGCGGTCGGGGCCTGCGCTGCCGGAGCAGGTGGGCTGCGGGGCGGCGGCGCAGCAGGACTGAGCGGCTCCGCTGCGCGCAGAGCCYGGCGCCCCCTGGCGCGGTGCCAGGCCAGGCGGGCGTGCGCCGGGCGTGCGGCACTGCAGCGCCGGTCATATGAGCAGAAATGATGAGAAAAGCACTTTTTAATCTTTTCGCACTTGCTCTGCCGGCTCAAACAGTTGCAGGATGTCGATGACGGACTTGCTCAGCGCTGAGGACATCAAGAAGGCGATCGGAGCCTTTGCTGGTGAGAGCGCGCTCCCTCCCCATCCTCTCCTTCCATCCGTCACCTGCGCCCTGCGCCGCGCGGCCAGCAGCCAGCCAGTCCCCTGCAGCCTCTGTCCTCGCGTCCGGAGGGGTCGGGGYGGGGTGGTCCTCCGCGTTTCCCAAACTCCGCGGGCCAGAGGGGACTTGGGGCGGGCTGCGCGGCGGGGAGGCGGGCTGCCGGAGAGCAGCGAAACTTAGGGGCGCAAAAGGGCCGACCCGGGACCAAGGGCAAAGACCAGAGTCGAAGGAGGGACCTTGCGAGTTCCTTCGCGCTCTGGGGTTTCCTTTTCAAGGCTGGTGGAGGGAACGCAGGCGTGCCTCTCTCTAAGGGACCCTTTCCTGGACAAGACTTTTCCCTGAAAGAAGGTGGCCCATTGTTGAACTACGGGAATGTCCCAGCTCCCTCCCTGGGCTTCAAAGTCCCCTCCCTGGGTCGGTCTCGGTCTCACGGGGCACTGCCATCTTCCGGTGGCGGACGCTGCAGCGGTGCCCAGGCCGTCCTCCGCGGCCCATCGCCCCCTACCCCCCACTCCACCTGTGCTTCCAGCCGGGTTCGAGGCTCAGGGAAGGGCAACCCCCCCTACCTCTCAGACTGCCAGGGATCTAGTGCATGGCCACCGCTGACCTTCCCACTCCCCTGTCACCACATGGGGAAACCTCGAAACCTCAGCTAGGAGAGGACCCSAGACTGGGCCAAGGTCATCTAGCCAGGCAGAAGAGGAATGAGAACTGGGGTGGTCTCCAGAACTTGGTCCCCTACCTTAGAGTGAGGGTTACAGGGCCACGTCCCCTCCTGCCAGCTCTGGACAGAGGGAGAAGCTGGCACCCCCMCACACACACACAAATAATAAGGTACATCACCCCCATTGCACCCYCCTTCCAGGGGTACTAAAAAAGGAGCTCAAGACAAAATGGGGGGGGGGGCTAGAAGAGAATCCTGTGTCCTTTCTGCTTGGCACCTTCTCCCCTGGACACAGGAAGCTCTGGGGAGTCACCCTCCTGGGGCATTATGAGAACCACCTATGTAGCCTTGAGCCACCTTTTCATCTCTAGGAAGAAACTGAACTGGGCTTTTGTCACACACACACACTCACACACACACACACACACTCATATCACACACTCATACACACACACCCCAACACACACACACACACACTGCCACTGGAATGAATCTCTGTGACAAAGCCAGGACTCTTGGGTCCTCCCCTCTTCCTCTCACTATGTGACCTTGAGGAACACTTGTCCTCTATGTCTATCTTCTGTGTGGCCAAGAAAGAAGGTTGCCTCTCCCCGGCCCCAGGGCACACACCAGGTTCCTACCAGCTCACTTCCCAGCCTGCTGTCACCCAGGACCCGCCGGAAGGCTGCACGGAGAGGGTCTCAGGTGGCCAAGGTCTCCCTYTGGTTCCTGGGGGCTCCCTATTTGCAAAAGGGACAGGTGAGGGGGCTGGGCAGGCTTGAGAGGCGTGACCTTGGACGAGCACCTTTCCCAGTCCTCCCACAGGACTGTCCTCCCTTGCCCACACCTGGCAGTGGAGTCACCCGAACACCGGGACACCCCTCCCCGGCCTTCCTGGGCCTCCTCTTGTCCTCATTTTCACCCGCTCCTCCCACCAGCTGTCGACTCCTTTGACCACAAAAAGTTCTTCCAAATGGTCGGCCTCAAGAAAAAGAGTGCRGACGACGTGAAGAAGGTGTTCCACATCCTGGATAAGGACAAGAGCGGCTTCATCGAGGAGGATGAGCTGGGGTAAACTGAGGCCTGAGGGGCCTTCCGGCCGGAGGCCCAGGGAGGAGGGAGGCTGGGGGCTGGAACCCCTCCTTCCCAGTCCCCAGCAGGGCTGCCCTTTCCCTGGCACAGTTCACAGAAAGCAAGGGCTCAGGCCCAGGGTACAGGGAGACGATGCTCCCGGCACCGTCGCTTCCGGAAGAATCCACCCTCAGCTCAGAGTGCAACTAACAAGGTTAAATTATAGCCACTTAATACTGCTAATGGAATGGTGCTTCTTAATAATTCAGTACAAACCAAGAGGTGGCTTTCCTGCTCGCTGGCACTGTAGGCACAGCCGGGGGCTGGGTTCCTGTAAGTGCTGCCCTGATTCCCAGTCGTGAAAGGCACCTTCTGTCTGTGCAGACCCCACCCCTTCTGGACCAGGGTGTCTAGAGCAACTTCCGGGCAAGCCAGGGGCCCAGAGCCAGCCTTGGGGATTCAGGGGTCCTCGGAGCCAAGCAACCAGGCAAAGGCACTGACTAAGAAGATTTGCAAAACTGCATCTGGGAAGAGCCTTCCCATCCTCCCCGCCCCTGCCACCTGGCCCATGTCTTCTGCCAGCTGTGCCCTAGGATGTCACTCTGTCCARGACTGCCCTGGATTTCATCAAAAAGAGCAAAAAGAGGGAGGAGAGAGGGTTCCTACTTAAGGAGAACTCCCCCCACCTATCTTGTCTCCTCCAAACCATCCCACAAGGGTCTCCTCTGCCTGGGACCGTCCCCTGCCCACCCACACCGGGCACTAGCCTCTCCCTGCCCCCCAGGCACCACTTCTCCAGGAAGCCTCCCCACAGTGTACCCATCCCACCACCTGTCCCTCCTGGGGTACGTGACCTCCTTCCCACTGATTCAGGTGGCTTCCTAAGATCACCACAGGGCGACCAGCTTCCAGCCTAGCTCGCCAGAGGAGACATTTCGTAGCTGTTTATTGAATAAATAAAGAAATGCAGGTGCCCCCCCCCCAGTAGGCTCAACCCCGAGGCCAGCCTGTCCCCCCGCCCACTCGCTCACCAAGGCACCGCTGCACACAAGCTCTCTGCTCGCTGCCTGTCCCAGCTGCCCCTTCCCCTCACGGACGCCACCCTGCCGTCCACACGATGTCCTTCCTGGGTGACCTTGACCTGACTCCCTCCTCCTCCTGTCTCCCTTTCCTCCTCCAGATTCATCCTAAAAGGCTTCTCCGCAGACGCCAGGGACCTGTCTGTGAAGGAGACCAAGACACTCCTGGCCGCTGGAGACAAGGACGGGGACGGCAAAATTGGGGCTGACGGTGGGTAGCATATTGTGGATTCTGGGATGTGTGGATGCTGGAAGTTCAGAGCCGAGTCTATCACCAGGAAGGGGAGCCTGGGGAGAAGGGCTCCCGTCAGGTCTAGCCAGGCAGAGAAAAGCTGCTATGGAGTTCCAAAGTCGAGCCCAGTGAGTCTCACGCATGCTGGGTGGGAATCCAGGAGAATTTAGGATTTTTCCACTACTTTGCCCAGAGTCGGGTCCTGTACTGGCTGTGTGACCTTGGGCAGTCTCTCTCCTTCTCTGAGCCTAAGGCTCTTGTAGGTAATCTAAGGAGATGAGGCCAACTGATCCCCAAGGACCCTCCGGCTCCCATTAGTCTCAGATCCCAGGGATGGAAAATCCTGGTCTCCTATCCTCTGCAGCATCTGACCCTGGTGTCCTGTAACCTTGAGCCTCAAGACAGCTTTTAACTCCACTCAAATATACTCTTCTGGTATGACAGGACAGCCAGGAAAGACAGCCAGCCAGGAACCAGCCCCCACAAGCAAGAATGGCTCTCAAAGTTAGCTGTTGGCACAGGCAAGGGGCCAGCGGGCCACCCGTCCCACACCCTTGCCCATTCAGCTGGACCTAGGATTCCTGGGGACACATTCCAGCATCACGTTTTGCAGATGGCCAAACAGATGTTGAAGGGCTTGGTCTAATTCAGAGAGCCAGGACCTGGAGATGGAGCAGGGATTCAGAACCTGACCAGGGTTTCAGAACCGGTCTAAGAGAAAACTGTGTGTCGGTGCCTCTGAGTTCCACTCCCAGCCACCTGACCTTGGGGAAGTCCCGGAACTGCTCTGGGCTTCACCTTTCTGGTCTTTGAGCTGAGGAGGACGAGGGTCCTAGAGCGCTGTCCTGAGGCCCAGATGTGTTACTATGCAAAGGGCCTAGACGGGGTCAGGCGCAGAGCAGGTGCCGAGGGTTGGGAAACTAAGATGAAATCGGGACTAGATTGCGTTSGCTCTTGTGCCTCGGGGTTTGGCCCATACCTGTCCCAGCAGGTGCTGCATGAACACCTGTTGCATGAGTGTGATTTCCAGGCCCCGTTCTGCTTCCTCTCTGCCTTCCCCGGTGAATCTCTGGGGTGTCACCGAGTCCACTGGCCTGCCTTGCAGCCACAGGGAGGGCCACTTATCTCTGACCTGCTTGGGCTTGTCGGAAATTCAGCGACTGCAGACCCAAAATTGCTTTGAGAAAGGTACCAGAATTCTGAAACTGGGTCTCAGTTTATCAACGTTTATTTTGGCTAGAAACGAGAACGGAGACTCCTGACCAAGGTCAGACACAGGGAGTGCCCGGGCCACCTGCCTTCAGCTTCCCTGCTGGCAGCTGAAGGAGGGAGGTGCTTTTCAAGGACCTGAGTGGAGGGTCCTGGGAGGTGTTGGGCGCTGAGCTGCTCTGGGTGGCTCGGGTGAGTGACAGCTGCTCTCTGCCCCAGCTCCACCCCCAGCCCTGGCTCCACCTTAAGCTCAGCTCCAGCCTCCAACCGACCTCCACCTTCCATTTCAATCTGCCGCCAGGAAGCCCAGCTCAGAAACCCTGGGCAGGTCTTCACCGCTGGCTGCTCCCAGGCCACCTGAATGGTGAAGAGAAACCAGGGCAGGCCCTCGCCTGGTTCCCTGCCTCCCTCTCCCTCCCGCCATACTCAGGTCTTAAAGAGCCAACTGAACTCTTCCAACAGACATTGWCTGAGCAGCAACTTGGTGTCCAGCAGGGAGGGGAAGATGAATTAGACCCAACTTAGAGTGGCACCATTTTCTGGCTGGGAGCCCCTGAGCTGTGGTTCCGTAACCCTGAGTCCCAAATTCCTCAACTGTAAACTGCCCAGGATACCAAAGAGTGTCTAGTGCAGTGTTTAGTAAGTGCTCAATAAACAGCAGCTAGGATGCCTTTTTTTTTGGTACTAGGGATTGGACCCAGGGGTGCTCTACCTCTGAGCCACATCCCCGGCCCWTTTAATTTTTTAATTATGAAACAGGGTCTTGCTAAGTCACTTAGGGCCTCACTAAATTGGTGAGGCTGGCCTTGAACTTGCCATCCTCCAGCCTTGGCCTCCCAAGTTGCTCTGAGGACAGCTGCRTGCCACCATGCCCAGCTAAGATACTGCATTCACTTCATCTGCACATTGCTCACGGTTCTGGAAACAAATGGCACTACAGGGTGAGTGTCCCTTATCTAAAAGGCTTAGGATCGAAAGTGCATCAAACTTTTTTCAGACTTCGGAATATGTGCAGAGTCTCATGTTGGTATTCAAAAAGTTTTGGATTAGGGATGCTCAACCCGTACGAGGCAGAGCAGAGAGGTGTAGGCAGGGCGGGGGGCACTTCCTGTGGACGAGGAGGCACTGGGCTAGGATGCCACAGCAGTGGAGGGTCCAGGTATCAGCAAGGTGGCGATGCCGGTGGCGAGGCCGGTGGCGAGGAGATGGGTTTGCTGGGAGAGATGACCGTAGTTAGCTGGGCAGGTAATGTGTGCCGGGCCAGTGCTGGTCTCCGTACAGTGTCACCTCTTTTACCAGGAGGACATAGGTGCAGACACAGAAAGAGCAATCAGGGGATCCAAGGCCACTTGGCCAGCGAGTWCGAGAGCCGGGATCCAACAGGGTCTACGGAGGGCTTGGGCCAAGCCGAGGCTGACGGAGCTCTAGTCAGGAGCCGGGGGTCTGGGGGCACCAGAGCAGCAGGGGTGGCACAGGCCTTGAGCACGGCCCCCCGACAGTGCGCAGGCGTGGGAGGGGAGGCAGGGCCCTCTGCGGCTGGCACCCTGCGGCTTCCCCCAAGGCCCAGAGTGTCGGAGCCCACCTACCCTCGTGGGATGCTCTCTCCTGTCCTGGGACCCGGGCAAGTCACAGAGACCCCTGGCTTTCAGGGGGCCTGGTCTTTAAAACGAGCGTCAGGCCACTAGCCAATCCCTGGGTCCCTTCCAGCCCTGGGATTCCACAGTATAATCCTCTGCACAACGACCATGAGGGGACTTAGACCAGCTGAGTGACTTAGTGACAACAGCGGTGTTGTCATGGGGCACTTCAGGGTGCACAGTCCTTCACGCATTTATCTTCCGGGCTATCCCTGGGGTGGACACTGTGACAATTCCTACTTTATAGACACGGAGCTCAGAGAGGCCAGGCTTCGCCTGAACTCCCGTGGGCAGGGAGAGGAAGGAGGCAGACCCGGGCACAGGTCGCGGGGCCCCAGGGCACTGCCCGSGGCCACCTCCTTCTCTCAGGTTGGGCGAGCCCCGCCCCTGGGTTGGCGGCTGTATTGACTTGCTGCTCGCTCCGCCCCCTTYACCGCGTCAGCTCTGCAAAGCAGGGACTTGGTTTTCTTCAGTTCTGATCCCAGCACAAAGAATAGGGCTGGCACATAATGGGAGGAGAGAAAAGTCTATYGGACAGACAGATGGACGGAGGGGTGGATGAGTGAAGGAGCCCAGGCCCAGCCAGGGGTGTGGAGGCTCTCTGCAGGCCCGAGCTGGAGAGCTGGGCAGCAGGCTGGGGCTTGCTTGCAGCAAGTGCTGAGGGGCTCAGGACTGCCGCTGTCCCCAGCTCTGTGTCCTAGGAAGGGGAGCACAGTTGACCATGCTCTTCAAGCTCCCAGGCTGCAGGGAAGGGAGGAGGACAAAGTCCTAATAATACGCCTTTCCATTCTCGTCTCCGGGGTGACTATTTCCAGGAAGCTCAAAGACTTTTCTAGATGTGATCGATGGAGTTTCAACAGCCACCCTGAAAGGCTGGTGCCAAGCTAGACAGCGGAGGGTTAGAAAAGGAGAGAGAAGCTGGAAAGAGGTGGAAGGGGCGGGCAGGGGCTTCCTCGGGCGCCCCTGGACTAGTGGATCTCCACCTGCAGCGGCCTAGGCCCCCCCAGGGTCCTTCCCAGCATGGATGGCCTCTCCCACGGCTTGGGTGGGCCTGAGCATTTGCATCTGGAACAAGTAGCCATGTGGTGTAGACAGTGCCGCAGCTGCACTCTGAGAGCCACCGCCTGAGGACAATCCTAGGAAGGAGGGGCCAGGAGTGTCCACTGTCCCCACTTTACAGGTGAGGAAACAGAGGCACAGAGAGGCCACGTGAGGTGCTCGGGGTTACCCAGTAGCAGAGTCAGGACTGAGACTCTGTGTCCCTTCAGGACCCACTGTGACCCTGCCTCCCTGGGCATTTGTCCCCAGCCTGACTCTGAGCTGGAAGCCTCCACAAGGAACAGACAGACCCACAGACATTGAGGTTAGTGCCCAGTCCCACTCCTGGTGGGACTGCCCTCAGGTCTTTTCCTCCGTCAACCCTCACGTAGCTCCCAGCTCTTTATTACCTGCACAAACAAGGAAACTGAGGCCCAGAGACGCAGAGCAACTTGTCCTGAAGCGTGAGACCCCTTTCAAACTCCAGCTGCAAACGAGCTCTTCCCCCAACGCTGTAGGAAGGTCCGCACACCCCACATYCACGTGCGCACGCGCAATCCAAGGGCATTTTCCCTGGGACCCAACCCTAGAACTGGATCCGCTTTCCTGAGCTTTAGCCCTGTTCCAATTCAAGAGCATTTTACTTCGGTGCTAAAAACACAGAATCCTAATTATTTCCTGACCAGGACGGACTGACCTCGGACCTCCCGTGCCTGAGGGCTTTTGCCTCTCCTGCTTCCTTGGGTCAAGATCTGTTTTCTCTTATCCTTAAGTAACCTCTTTCACCTGGGGCTTAGGGGTGAGGGAGTTGACTGCCAGACCRTGGGGACCAGCCCCGGGAGTGTCCCCAGTGTTTCCTCCCAGGGGCATCTGCTCCGTCATCTGCAAAGTGGGGATAAAAATACCTCTCGCCTCGGCTTGGTGCGGTTAGGTGAATGTTCTGGAAGTGATTCCTTTCCTCTGAATTAGGCGAATGCGTTTTTGAAAGTCACCTCAAAAACTTTTTAGAAGCTGGGGAGTCCCGGCCCTCAACAGGAATGAAGTGGAGTCTAATGTCTAAGATGGGAGGGAAGCGAGAAGCCTGGAAGGACAGTCCCTTGCCTCCCGGTGCTTCCAGCCTGCCAGCCCCTTCCGGGATTGGGTCCCCAAGCAGGGCAGGATGTACACAACTGGCAGGGCCCCCGGGGTGGCCAGCATTTGGTGGCATCTCCTCCTGCCATCCCAGCAGCCCCAGGAGGTCTAGGGGACAGAGACTGAGAGATGTGAAAACTGAGGCCCAGTGGACATAGAGTGCCAAGGTCACCCGGCAAAATCCTTGACCGAATGGGACATGGGTCTCCTGACTCCGCCTCCCTCCTCGCCCAAGCTGAGCTGAGACTTTGGAGTTATAAATGGTTCCGGCGCTTAGCAATCTGCTCTCCTATTCCCGGGTGCACTCGCGCTGGCTCGGGCCTTATGCTGAACTAGATAAGACGGAGCAGGGAGAGGAGGAGGCTGCTTATGTAACTGGCCTCCTGGAAAATGGAGCGGGCCGGCAGGGCGAGAAGATGGTCCSGCCCCATCCATCCCGCTCCTTCTGTCTGAGGGCTGCAGTGGGGAAAGAGATGCAGCCGGGCACCAGCCACGCCGGAGCTAGAAGCCTCCTGGCTGGGTGGCTCAGCCTCAGCCTCAGTTTCCCTGTAAGTAGAATGGGGGTAATGGGGCCCGAGAGGATGAACTGGGCTCGCACATGGGGCAGCCCCTGGCACCRAGGGCGCCCCAGAACAGTTTATGATGCCTCCCTATGGCTGTCTGGCTTGACCCCAAATGACCCTGCCTCCAGTTCTGCAGGGTGGGAAAGTGATCTCTGTCTGCAATTCCAATGTATAAGAAACCGAGCCGGGGAGCTATTTAGAGGCGAGGTGATAAACCAGGAGGCTGGTCCCTTCATCCTGGTCATCACGGCAGAGGGAGGGAAACAGCCTTCCAGACGCTGACTCAATGAGTCTCAGTTTCACTTGGGGCTATCAGCATATGCCGCTCCCACCTGTCAATAGCTTCTAAATTTGTCCAGTGTCCGCAGCACCCAGGACTGGGGCAGACCTAATTAGGCTAATTGCAGTTTCCTAAGGGAGAGTAAAGAACAGAATCTGCCCATCCTCCGTCCGCTGCCCACCTCCCACCCATCCCTGCCTTCTCTGCCTCTCTCTGATTGGGCGAGGCAGACCTCAGCAAGCCAGCCCTAGAGGATGCTGGGGGCAGCCTCAGGCTGCAAGGGTAGGGCTGTGCTCGCGTGTCCTACAAGGGGAAGAGCATCTGGATCCCTCCGAGGGCTCATTTCCCTCATACCTCAGCAATCAGCATTGACTTAATGGCGGTCAACTATGCCTGCCCCGCGTGCGCCAGACGCCTCCATCATTTCCTGTGGTCCTCACCATCATCCGTGAGGAGAGGGTCTCAGGATCCCCATTGTATAGATGAGGAAACCGAGGGCCAGAGGCTGACTGTCCACAGAGAGGTGTGCTGGAGGCGGGAATCAACTCACATGGAATTGATCCTGTGGAAACTCGTTCAGGGCAGCTGGCTGCTGTGTAGTCCCGGGTCCTCTGTTTAGGTCCTCCTTGTCCTCCTTAGATTCAGGGGCTTTGTGGTAGTTGTCATTTCAGAGCTCCAACCCATGTGGATTGTGCTGAGGGGATCCAAGGGGGGTGGAGTTAGCACGTATAAGCTGCCTACTGTGTGCCAGGCATCTTTCTGTATTTTATCATCTGTTTTCCCCGATAGCTCTGTACCCTCCTTACAGATGAGAATACTGATGCTCAGAGGGGTAAAGTGGTGACCCATGGCCACCCAGCCAGGCGGTGATGGACAAGACAGCTTCAGAGATGGGGTTGGGGAACGGAGATGGGGAATGAGAGGGATGGTGGGTTCCAAGAGCGGCAAGAGCGACGGCCATGCTGACAAAGGCCTCAGGTCTCCTCTCTGCCACGGCTTGGTGGCAAAGTGGCTTGAGTCACAGAGAATCCTGATCACAGTGGCCACCAGGTGTGTGCTGTGCCCTGGCCCTGACTAGGAGCTCTAGCTAGATCCTGGGAGCAGCCCCAGGAAGCAGGAACTCCCATGAGCACCATGGTACAGACGGGGAAACCGAGGCACAATGCGTGACCTAGTCAAAGGTCACAGAGCAACAAACAGGAGCTGGGAGTGGACCCCAGCCCACTTACCCCGACCCAGTAAGAGTAGAAGATCACGTGTGAGATGAGAGAACCCAGACCGGGAAGGGCGAGGCACCTCGTCCAGGGACTAGCAGATGACTGGAACCCGTCCCCCAGCATGCCATCCCGTCCCAGGGTGCAGCCACCGCTCTGCTGGCCTGGGCTTCCCATAGTCTTTGTGCACTTGCTCATTTGAGAAATGGGCTTTTTTTTTTTTTTTTTTGGAGGGGGGTGGTTGCTAGGAAGGCTGGGGCTGACTGGCCGGGTGCTAAGGGCTCTGCCCCYGGGCAGACATGAAGGTACCAAAGAGGTGGCCCCTGCCCTCAATGTGTCTGCAAGTGCCYTGTTCAAGGTTCTGTGGGGATAAAATTAGAATCCAGTGTTTCCTGCACGTCCAGCCAGACGTGGCTGCCGTGACCTTCCGGCTGCATCAGGGTGGGCAAAGGGCCGATTAAGAGGCTTTTAAAAACTACAAAATWTTCCGAATATTTCCCAGAGTGAGGCTCCAAATGCCCAGCTTTTATCCCAGGAGACCCTCCTTGACACCTGGGTCCTCCCACACCAACGCACCAGGTCCCCTCTAGTGTGGGGGTGAGGACAGTGTGCTGCTGATGAGGAGCCAGGGAGCCCCCAGTTTCCAGCAGGAAGAGTCAGAMCCAGCCTCCCCTCTCGGCGGTCTCCAGGAGCAGTGTTGGTGACAGGTTTGCGCCTCCTGTACCTCAAGGCAGAGCATCTCAGGGGCCTGGGACAGGGAAGGCTGGCTCCCTCCACTCTGCCAGATTAAATGGCACATGAAGCTGGAGAGGACTCTCGCTTCCACGGGCCACCAGCAGCCTCACACTCAGCTCCTGAGGCCAGAAGACAGACTGTAGCTCTGTGTCTTATTCTCTGCATGACTCTGACACCTCCCCTCTCCAGCCCCATTTCCCCATCTGTAAAATGGGAATATCTCACAGAGCTCTTGTGAGAATTCAGTGCAGTTAAACAGTAGTTGTTGAAACTTAAGGACTCATAAGCCATCCCATCCACCCATGCACCCATCCACCCACCATCCATCTATCCACCCACCCACCTATCTACCCACCCATCCATCCATCCATCCA